GAGGGCTTTGGCAGAAATGTCATCAATGGATAAGGGGGCCCAAGAAAACCATTTCATGACAGTGCAGCAGAAGCAAGAACAGCCAAGATGCCTCTCTTCCCTTCCAGTCCTATCTGGCAATCCGCAATGACCCTGAGCCTCTCACCACCCACCTCTGTGGCTTTAGAAGCAGATAATCTCTATGGAGAACCTACTCTAATCCAGACCCAGACCTAACCTTTTGCATGCATTGTCTTGTCTAATTTCTACTATCAGCGTGTGAAGAGGTGCTGTTATTGCCCCTATCCCACAGGCAATGAGACTGATGAGATTGAATAATCTACTAGTGATTATTCACCCAACAGCAAGTCAAGCTGGAGTCATACGGTCTGCCACCAGAGTTCATGCTCTGAAGACACAGATTTAAATATAGACAATGCTAATCAAATTAATTACTATAGGTTATTTCATTTTCCACAAATATCTTTTCAACTGAGAAGTAGCCAGTAATGTTTTAGCCTAGGATTCTGTTTAGCTTTCCTTCTACTCCATCAGTTTGAATCCAGTAATCAAACCGGTCAATGAACTCAAACAGCCTTTAACAAGCTCTTCTCAGAGAACCCCAGGAGTTACCTCACTCCCTTTTGCAACATCACAGTAAAGAGCTTATCAGCTCCACTCTACCAGTGACAGACTAAAACGTGCAGCTGGTCATTGACCCGAGACTCATTATGTCTTCCAGCCCTAAACCAAGTCCAAAGTAAAACCCAGAATATTAGACACAAGCTCAACCATTAGAATGAAATGAAATGAAACCTGGTGTCTATTCCACCTGGATGGAGAGTTTCTCTGAGGACCCTCTGCTGTGAAGTCACCCATTCAAACCTATGAATTGGTGTCACCTCAGTGCCCTCAGCTAGTTCCTTCTTACCCCATAGTAGGTCCTCAATGACAGCCTAAAGCTCGGTATGATATCTACCCCCACTGGACACACTTACCCTGTCCAAACTGGATTCATTATTAGGCTTGGGAGGTGGGGGTTAGGGGACATGTTTATGTGACCTGAAGCAGGGCTTCTCAAACTGTAATGTGCATGTGATGCCCACAGGGCTTCTGCTAAAAGAGCAGGTTCTGCTCAGCATTTCTGAGTGAGGCCCAAGACACTACAATCCCAACTCCCAGGGGTGCCGATGGTGCGGCTCCCTGACCCACACGTTGAGTAACAGAAGGAAGCAAGTGAATCTGCAGGCAGTTTTGAAAGATACAAAGCCTGTTTTGAAGATTCACTAGCCTCTTTCCAGAGTCTTCCTTCCTCTACAAGCACACACATGCACACATCCACACACACTTCTTGGCCTTTTTCACAGCAACCTCCAGGGTCTTATGCTATCCAGTGACTATGTAACCTCCTTCCTGCCGAGCAGCTCTTCATACCTAGACATTTCCCAGTGTGTCCAAACATCACAGCTCACCTGTGCTCCTGGTAGGTACCTGGCTGGCTATCCTCGGGAATCAGAGAGGACTTCAGCCCACCTCTCCTGGCAGACAGCTGCCCTGGATTCTACCGCACAAGGGAATCAGGGGCTAAGGGCAATTTCAGAAAACTTCACATGTTGACAAGACTGCCCCCAGCTCAATATACCAATTAGATTCACACAGAAAGATGAGAAAGTCCTGAGCAGCATATCCCAATGCTCATATGTGAGTACATGCCTCCCAAAAAAGATCCATGGCCAAGTAAGCTTGAGGAACACTGCATACCATTTCCCTTCCTCAGTTGCATATTAGCATGTCAAAGGCTCTGAGAAGTCCTGCAACAAAGAAGTTTATTTAATTTTGTTTAAACCAGTGAGTCATAAGCTTATTTATTGATATGGAGGGTTTTTTTTCCCTGCAGCATTTCATGGAACCAATTTTCCATGGAGTATTTAGGCCCATCTGTTTTACAGGGCCAATAATCCCATTGTTTGATATGTTTCAGATTTGAGAATCTGCCTATGAGATTCAGACTGGCTCTTAGTAATTTTTCAGCCTACTGATCTCTTAGATCATTTTGATAGGATCTGTCACTGACATTTTTTAAAATTAAAGTATCATTGTTCACCCATATTATCAAGTTCTCACCCCCTCCAACCCCAGTGCAGTCACTGTCTATCAGCGAAGTAAGATGCTATATGTCATTGACATTTTTTAAAAGCACAATTCACAGACAATATGGCAGAATGGAAGTAACAGGATTTGTACTAAACTCAGGTATGAATCCCAACTCTGCTGTGATTTAGCTGCGAGCCCCAAGAGAAAACCTACATCTCAGGGCTGTTGTGAGGTATGCAAATAACCTGCAAAAAAAAGAGAACTCCAGTATTTAGAAATACTCAACACTTGCAGCATTTGAATAGGCTGTACAGATGTGATCACTGAAGCAGCCCGACACCCCACAGTCATGAACTGGACCTGTTTCCACTTGTTCTCACTCAGATTATTATTGCAGCCCCACTTAAACTGCATGCACCTGAGCAGTTTTTATCAAGCAATGAGTAGGGTAGCTGATCACAGGACTTCTCTTTAATGGGTGTGAACTCTGACCATCTTTGTAAACTGTGGCCCAGATTCATCCTGAGTCATACCTTTTGGCAGATAATTTTATACACATTTAATGTATTTCCATGAAGTCCACATTTCTCAAAAATATCACCTAAACTATCAATTAATCTAAAAGCTACATGTAGGACAAAGGGCATGTTTTCTGGGGCCAGGCACATTTTAATCCCATCTTTGCCACTTACTGACCTGTGGAGAGTTACTTAACCTCTTTATACCTCAGCCTCCTTATCTGTAAAATATAGATATATTGTGCCCATGTGGCACAGTTGTTAAGAGAATGAAATGCGTAAAATCAAATATGCAATTAAATAAGTGAATATGTCAAGTGCAAAGCATAGCACCTAACACTGGTTAGGTGCTCAACAATATTAACACTGTCCTCTACTTCATTTCCATCCCCTACCCACCCTCAGAGGCAGAGAGTGAAACCTACTGGGCAAACCAACACCAGTAGCCTATTGGGAGATACCTCTGGCTGCAGAGGAAGGGCCATGCATATCACAGAGACTAAAGTCATTCAGTAGATTTCAGGCCTCCCAGGTATGAAGACAGCTCTTTAAATAAGACTTTTGTCCACTTTCCCTGACAAACAGTTGAAGTACTTTCTGCAAGTCATAAAAGTGATCCAGATGGTTAAACAGAACCCCAGTGGAGTCAGCTATTCCTTCTCTTGAGAAGGTCATGTAGGGGAAAGAGACTAGACATCTTCTGGCGGATTGTTTCCAAGCCAAAGATGTTAAGAATACATCCGTGGCACCCACTTCCCAGAGCAGTTCATGCCAGCAGCTTGGATGGAGTGAGAGGAATGTGAGGGCAGGGACAGGGGCAATTAGGGTCTGGGTTTAGCCCATTCAGTGCCTGGAGCAGAACAGCTGGCTCAGAGTGTGAGAGTTTTGGCTCAGACATTTGGCAACCCACTAGCTGTGTGTGCATGCGTGTGCGTGTGCGTGTGTGTGTGTGTGTGTGTGTGTGTGTGTTTAACTAGCTTGCAAAATGTTGAGCCTCCCTTCTTCCCTTGATCATTTGGCAGGAATATTTTTGTTGGCAAATAGCAGCAAAGACCAGGTACCAAAAATATCCACAGTAAGCTTCCCTATTACTATTTAGATTCAGGCCCATTTTTACTTTCATTGGAAAGCAGTGGGAGGCCATTTACAGTCATGCCAGAGTGGGCTTAACATTAGAATGGCTATAAAAAAATTCTTTTAAACTGACAATACCAAGGACTGGCAAAGACAAGAAGCAGCATCGCTAGTAGTAATGCAGAATAGGATAGCCCCTCTGGAAAATCTGGCAATTTTTGTAAAGTTAAGCTTACACTTACAATATGACCCAGCAGTCTTTATTCTAAATACTATCCTAGGGAAATTAAAATTCTTGATCACATGAAAACTGCATGAGTATTTATAGAAGCTATTCATAATTGCCAAAAATGGAAAATAATCGAACTGTCCTTGAATGGGTAATTGGATAAACAGAGTTATAATCATTCAACATTTTCTTACAACCAAAAGGAATGAACTATTGACCAAAGGCATTGTGCTTAGTCGAGGAAGCCAGACTCAAAATATTATACACTGTATGACTTCAAGTATGTGATGTCCCAGAGAAAGCAAAACTCTAGGGACAAAGAACAAATCAGTTGTCACCAAGGGCTCTGGGTGGGTGGATGGTTTGACTAAAAAGAGAAGCATACAAAATGTTTCAGGTGAGGAAACTATCTTGTGTGCAGATCATGGTGGTAGTACAGGACTCAGGACTATCATTTGTTAAAACTTAAAAAACAATATACAGGATAAGATTTTACTTTCAATTTAAGTTGAAATTAAAAAAATGAAAGCTGCAGTGGCTATATTAATGTCAGAATATAAAAGCAGAAATCAATACAATAAAAAACAGAAAAACAATTGTGAATATAATTAACTAAAAGCTGGTTCTTTAAAAGGTTAAAAAAAACTGATAAACCTCTTGCCAGGCTAACCAAGAAGAATAAAGACACAAATTACTGACATCAAGAACAACCAAAGGGTCATCACTATAGATTCTGTAGACATAAAGAGCATATAAAAACACTATTTAGTAAGGAAATTGAACAACTTTATGCCAATGAATTTGACAGCTTAGATGAAATTCATTGAGAAATTCATCAAAAGACATAAACTGCCTGATAACTTCCAGTAGATAACCTGCATAGCCCACATCTATTAAAGATATTGACTTGGAAGGGGAGAACCTTCCTAGAAAGAAAACTTCAGGCCTAGTTGGCTTGACTGGTGCAAATTGCCAAAGATTTATAGAAGAAACATTACCAACTCTAGAGATCTGGAAATAGAAGAGGAGGGAATACTTCCCAACTCATTTAATTTTTCATATATTTTTTTAAACATCAAACAGAAAGCAGTGCTCTCATTACTTACAAGGCCCCCAGATCGAAATCATTGCCCAGGAACTCCTCCAGCAGACTTGTATCCAGGGCCGGATTCCCCAGAGGGCCATCAGTCCCCTGAGCTGCAAAGACAAATTAAAAATCCTAAGATTCATGAAGACTTCAGAATGACTAATGGCTAAAAACAACAGACAAAGCAACTAAATGGCATAAGGCATGCATTGAGAGTTAAGGTCTTTCCTCTATTCAAATACTTCCTCCAGAAATCTCTTTTGATGTCACACTCCTCCAGCAGCCTTCCTGGGCACCTTTAGGTGCCCCTCTTTATGTGTGTCCATTAACACCATGTGCTTTGCCCTAGACACTATTATAATGCTTGCTTTTGTGTTTGTTTCTCTATCTGAAGTCTTTTAGGGCAGGGACTGTGTCTTTCTTTTTGTAGCCACAAAAATCTATGGTATAAAAAAGGCAGCAATAAACATCTGCTGGATGGATTAATTGGATGGATGGATAAGTGGATTGGTGGTTGGTTTGTTGTTTGGACAGATTATTTCCAACAAGAAGTTGAGTAACTTTCTTCAACTTTTTTGTTAGACTTCCCAAAGGTTAACACAATATTTCTGTCCTTTCTCCTGGTTTAAAAAATGAAAATAAATTTCCTGTTTTCTTTCTGGTCATAACAAAAATGTTAGAATTTTAAAAGAACATAAAATATAGGAATATATTATAAAGATGATAAAACAATACTTACTTATGGATAAAATGACTATACCTAGCAAATGCAAGTGGAGCATCTAACAACAATTAGAAATGATCAGAAAATTCAACAGTCATTGCTTAAAATTAAATATTAAACTAATTAGGTCCTTATATGCAAAAAATAACAAGTAAACCTCTCAGATAAATATAATGGAAAAAAGTGAGGTTCTATTCAAAATAACAAAAATATAAAATATCTATCCATATATTTAGGGACAAAATCTTTTTAGAAAGCTAAAAAAAACCTCTATGAAAGGTCATAAGAAGTTTGAATAAATGAAAAGATCTACATTGTTCTTAGGCTAAAAGACTCAATATTTTAAAACTTTTACTAAACATTATTTAAGATGTCTGCCAAGCCCATATATTCATTTTCTGAGAACTTCCCCCTTAGAAGCCATATTTTTAACACATAACCTCTCCGGGCACCTGAAGCAGGAAGAACCAATCCATTGCTTAGCCAATGACCAATTCAATTATTTCTTCCAAGAATTTGAACTAGACTTTACAGCTGGTGGTTGGGATTAAGTCAGGTTATAACTAAGGCATGGACTGGAGTGATAGTCTAAATATTTGCTGAGGTCCTTCTTGACTCTATCCTTTCTAAGGCCTGGTTTTTCCACTTCTACTCCAATCGTATGACAAACTTTGGTATACACCCAACAAACCCTTTTTAACTGGGTTGTATGTTATCTGAAATTAAATAATCAACAAGTTAAAATGTCTGGAAATTCTTCTGGAAGAATAAATACCCCAAAATCACCAAGAAAACTAGGGAGAAAGGAGGTAAATCAGTGCTGAGAAACAAATGGACATATGAAAGGAACACAAAAAAATCTGGGCTATATCAAGAAATATTACACATATTGGGAATATATAAGGACTTTTAGTGCATAATAATCATATACTTTGACAGAAGCAGTGAGAAAGATTAAATATTTAATAAAAGTTGTGGGGACACATTGGTCAGATATTTAGGAGAAAGAGACCTGGATCATTTTCCTACTTTCATACCAAAATTCCAGATAGATTGAATATTTCAACATAAACAAGTGAACCCATAGAAAGAAGATGTGTGAATATTCTTATGATCTTGATATAAAGAAGGCTTTGCGAGCATGGCATAACAAATAAAAACTATAAAGAAAAATACTGATAAATTTTACTTTATACATTTTTTGAGGGGGAAGAATTTTTCCCATTTCATTTTGAAATAATTTCAAACCCTAAAGAAAAACTTCAGGAATACAAAGGAACTCATTTATACCCATCACTCATAATTCACCAATTATTAACTTTATTGGTTTTTTTCTGGGTACAATTTAAATAGGTAATACTTAGAATCTCTGTCCCCCACACCAACGTCCTTCCTGTAATCCAGTGCCTTGCCTTCCCCCGGGGGAGGGGGTGGGGCAGGCCCCTTCACGTCCAGATCACCACACTAGTTACAGGAAGGCCATTTTATGCTTAGCTTTTGGGTTGCTATCTCTTCCAAGTGCACTAAAATAAAACTGTAAAAATCTTGAGCACCTCCCAAGTGTGAACATTTGATGGGTGCCAGAAAGGGGGAAGGGAAGAGGGAAGAAAGAAAAGGGAAGAGAAAGAGGAGAGAGAATGCCAAGTCTTTCAGTGGCAGGAACAAAGAGGGAAATGGATGGAAGCCAGTCCTCAAAGCTGAGATGCTCAGAAATGACCTCACAGTGGGTTCAGTCTTGAGCTTGACTCTGAAGAACACATAGGGTGGAGGTGAGTGAGGAGAAGACACATTCATACTTTCACTGATTCAACTAATATTTATCAAACACCTGCCATGTATATGTCAAGCACTGTACACGGTTCTAGAACACAGCAGTGGGGGAGGAAAAAAAAAACAAGACCTGTTCGTGGGGGAGGGGGTGCCCTATATTCTAGGGGAGGGAAAGGCGACAACAGTGGGGGTGGAGGAGGACATACATAACACAGGAGCCCAGGAGCCCAGGAGCATAGGAGCACAGGAACCCAGGAGCCCAGGAGCCCAGCAGCACAGACAGGAGAGGTGGTCAGAGCACGGGAGGCCTTTGGAAAGTGACCTGATGTTTTGCATTTCTACGCGGTCACTCTGATTGCTTTGTGGGAAAGGACTGTAAGGGGACATGAAGAGAGGAAGGGAGATCAGTGGGGTAGTATCTCAGTTGTCCGGGGACATTCAGAGGTAGTTTGGAGTTCTCACTCTGGGCCAACCAGAAGGAGGAGCATTTTACCTGGCCTCACGAATCTTCATAATAGCCCAAGGAGAGGGACATTAATATTATCCTGTTTCCAGAGAAGGCAGAGTGATTACATGGGCTAATTAGCTTTCCCAGGGTCACACAGGCAGTAAGTGACACACAGGGGAGCCCAACAGGCCTACCCCAATTCCTGGGTGTGCTCTCACTGCCACCCCGACCCCAGGCTTCCTCAGGCCCCCAATAGACCAGCCACCTGTAGAGATGGCTGGCTTGCTCCTACCACTGCCCTATACTTGGGTGAAGCCTATTGCTAAAAGAAGCAGATGGAAGGAGGGATCCATTTAGTTTCCTACTAGCCCCTGCTGGTGTCCCATCTGCTCTGTACAGCACACACAAACACATACACACACACACACACACACAATTCCCAGGCACAAACAGGATGTGGCCCTTGGATGCTAAGACATGACCGATGCTCCACTTGCTTTATATCACCTGCCCTCCCCTCCTCTCATCCCAGGTAGAAATAGGAGCTGGTCCCTAGCTCCCAGGACCTGCCCTGGTGGCTGGTCCAAACACCTTAATGAACAAGGGGAAGTGTTTCCCAGAGTAGCCAGCTTTCTCTCAGGCTCCAAAATCACATCTGTGCCTTCCAGACCCAGAGGAAATCACTCAACAAGATAAATCTGTATGTCAGACAAAACTGTTTGCAGGAGGCTTTACACACACAGGGCAGCTCTCAAATGGCTCTTAAAATAAATCTTAGGCTTTTAGAAATAATTACTTTGCTCTACATGTCTTAAACACTTGTTTATAACACCCAAACCTGCTGAGACGGCATTGTTGGGCATCTCTCCCCGTCAGGGAAGCTCAGTTTCAAACATTGTCCACTCTTTTCTACATTTGTCTTTTGTGACTGAGAAGAGCCGCCGCAGCCCTGTTCCCAAGAGGAGCAGCTGCCCAGGCCTCCTGGGAACGCCGGAGAGCTGCCCACCTCACTGCTCTTGGGAAACAAAGCCCATCCCCCACCCCCCATCCCCATCCTGGTTCCCTGCCTCCCTTCCAGGCACAGTGACACCTGCAGCTGGTAACCTGTCCTGTGGCCTTGGTCTTGGCAGACAAGAAAAAAGCACATGGTGATAAGGATCAGCCCACCAAGGAGCACCAAGGCACATCCAAGTTGCACCCACAGGATCTGCTGGCAGACTCACACATGCCTTTGGGAAACAGTGCTTCTTCAGAGGTATGAGTAGAGCACTCACAGCAAGGACTTCCTGTCAGTACTCCCTGCCTCCTCCGCCCACCTGCACAGGCACCTCCCACCAGCCCTTTCTTGCCTCCATCTGATAGGCTCCCAATCCCTTTCCTCAATCTAGATGCCCCCCGGTCCTTCCTTTGTCTGCTCTTTCATCCTTTGTCCCAAAACAACAATACCCAGAGTATTCAGACAATAGGCAAGATGGCAAAATGTGTCTGTTATCACAATTGTACATTTTGAAAATATTCTAAAAAGCAACAATGAGGATCCCCTAAATGGTTGCCCTTTGGATTTAGACATAAAGACAGCTCCCTCTGATAGACCAGTGTTCTTGAGAAATGTCAGTGGATATTCCAAAGGAGAAGTGGTGGGAGAAGAGGAGATGGAGGAGATACTCTCCTTCTCTGATTGCCAAGGGATACTTTTGTCTTGACAAGCCACTGAAAATAAAACTGGATTTCAAATCTAACGATGTTTCGAGCCATAGCCATTCAGAGTTAATGAGTAAGGTAACATTGCCAATCATTAATTGACTGTTTCATTCATTTTTTTAACATTTGCTCATCATCCACTATGTATCGAGGAATAAAACCAGCTCAGTGAGAGGGACAGGGAAATCAGCTGCAGGAGGACCTGGTGTTAGGGTGGCTGTGGACACGGGTACATCCTAGGGAAGACTTGCCATCAGACAGGCTGGGGTGCACCAAGGACTGCCTGCAGGTGACACTGGAGGGCGATTCTTAAGGATAAGTAGAGGGTGATAAAAAAATATTCTAGAAACAGAAGAGAGCACTGGCAAATGAATTCAATCAGTAGCAGGGCTCTGTGGGAATGTGTCAGTAGTCTGGCCAGAGCCGGAGGCAGGTGCAGAACATGGCACAGACTGAGAACAGTGCCT